GAAAAAAATTAAAAACGTATTATTTTGGTGAATTGGTTTTAAAAATAGCTCATTTTGGTCAAAAACTCTTATTGTGATCATCCAAATAATTCTATAAATATTTTTTCTTAAAATGTGAGATTTAAGAATTTTAAATATGACGCATTACAAGTAAAAGTTGATTAATTGGTATATAAATTATTTACACCAACCATATAAATTGCTTAATTAAACTCATATTTTGTTCCTTTTGTCCAAAATGTGCAAGTTGTCCAATAAAAGGAGGAGAAACTGAGAATTAACGAAATCGATATTTATACAAAGGTTTTAAACTTTCATAATATATTTATTTTGAAAAAAAATCTTGTCCCAAATAATTTTTTAAAATACATTTTAAAAAAATAAATAATTTATATTTAGCTAATCAATTTAAAAATAACTTTTCTCATATTCCTTCGAAAAAATTACTTTCTTTTAGCTTCTGTTACTTTAAAAATGCTTATTTCTTTTCTAAAATTTTCAGTAAACACTTCTCATACAGAAAAAATTATTTCCAAAACACCTCAATACAAGTGAATAAATATTCTTTAATTAAAAAAAATAAACATTTTAGACACCTTCAATTGTCGGGTAAACAGGCATGATTTCTCTTGTCAAGTATTTTCGTTTGTCACGTCTCAAACTAAAAACGACTTTTATCGAAATATTAAGCCACAAATTGTATTTCCTTGATGTGACATTAAAGGCGTATCTAAATTTTCAATATGTTGAATACACTATTATAATATATCAAAGATTTTATATCGATTCAATTCAATTAAAAAAAATCACTATCAATTAATGGTATCATTTTTTTATTTGTAATAATTTCACCTAAGTATGATTTGAAAGTTACCCATAAAACATCTGGGCTTGCTGCAAAAATGGCTTGGTTTTAAAGTGTTCAATCGTAAGACTTATAATTTAAGTATCTGAAAGGAAAAAAGGAAAATAAATTTAAAAGGTAATATTAAATAAATATTTATTATTTATATTAATATAATTTTTTAACTAAATATAACAATTTTTTAAAATTAAAAAATTGTACTGCATATCTACCTTCGCCTCTTTCTCCTCCTTTTTTCTTTTTCATTGTCTCTTTCTGTATCATACTTTCTCTCTCTCTTTTTTTTTATTCTTCTTTTTTTAAAAAAAATTATTTAAATAATTGTTTTGAACCAGTTTTTTTGTTTATATTTCATTAGTTATTTCTAAAAACACGAAGAGAAGAAATAGAAAAATAAAAAAAATGTACAATATCATGTTCTCAAATAGAAATTTCAAATCTTTAAAAGTATAGATTTGAAAGTTCAATATTGATGGTCATTATAAAAATTCAAATTTTAAATTAATTATTGGAAATTTATGAATTTGTAATTAGTTTGGATGGATTATTTTTAAAGTAATCGAAAAATATCATTTGCAATTTATAGCACAATTTTAAGAGGATTTAATTTAGTTTATAATTGATTTTAGGATAAATATTAGATTGAAACTCGAAAAATATGAAGTTTATAGAAAGGTAATTGTATTACATATGTTTTATAATTGAACTAAAATTGTATTAAATTCACGAACAATATATTTATAATACTTAATACAAACTTTACTCCTTTTTTCGTGATATCAATCAAAATAATTTAAGTAACACTTCAATTATTTTATTAATATAATGTTTAATTTCAGTTCTACTTTCAAATATGTATTCAGATCATCAAAACATTCAAATCTTAATGCAAATCCTGATATTAAGATGTGTATTCAAATTCAGACCTTAATCTTAATAAAAACAAATGAGGACCCGAGTAAACTCAATTCATCAAACATTAAACCACAACAAGAAAGTATAACAAACATTTTTAGAGAATCTGAACGATGACAAAGAAAATGTAGTGCTGTTATTTAACTCCAAACATGTTTGATACAAAAGAAGAAGCTGATGACAACACCTCATAAACACTATATGAGTTTATCAGACCCTACACCCAAAATTTAAAGGAGTAAGGGTATAGTGAACTCAAAATATTTCATCAAAACACAAAGCCTCAGAAAAAATCCAATATGATCATATGTAATATAGTTTCACCAAGTGGTTCTCCCTGCAAAGCAAGGTCTTGGATCCACCACACCTCATTAACATGGACTATATCATCATAAGCACAAGTATTTTTCCAATGTAGCTGCTCCACAGTGTTACTCCAAACACAATTGACAAAAAGGGGTTATGAAAAGAGTAAAAATACGATAGAGCAACACAAATAATATTGCTTCTAGGGAACGAGTTGATCGAAAATGGATTATGTTTCAACCACCAGATAAAGAAGCCTTAAAAATGGTCATCATTCATTATGTACAACAACTAATAAGGATAATCAGCTATTGGAGCTCGACTAATTCAAATTCACGCAACATACAACAACAAATAAGGATAACCAGCTATTGGAGCTCGACTAAATAAGGATAAATCAGCTATTGGAGCTCGACTAATTCAAATTCACGCAACATAAACAAATAAGGATAATCAGCTATTGGAGCTCAACTAAATAAGGATAAATCAGCTATTGGAGCTCGACTAATTCAAATTCACGCAACTAATTCAAATTCACGCAACGAGGAAGAAACTAAAAAGGCCTCAGAAGCTAAAGGTAATATAACATCAATGGAGCTAAAAAGCTCCTCAAATGGTACGGACAATTACCATACATCACTGGCCTATAATTAACAAAAAAATAGATAAAACTCAACTAATGAAAAATGTAAAGCAAGAATTTTAAGGCTCAGAAAATATGAACAGCTCTATCAATCACAGAAAATCAGAAGCAGAACTGGCATTAAAGCTGAATTTATATCATCACTGCCAAATTTCAAACAAAGAGATAAATAAATTAGGCTCATATTAAGAAATTCAACCATTTTTTTTATCATATGCTTCATAGATCACTCTCAGAAGCGCGGATAAATCTTCTAATCATAGCCAAAATTCAAAAAAGAAAAATATTTTTGGAGAATCAATCAATAATATAGCAGTGGACTTAGGAGTAAAACAATAGGAAAAAAATGCATAAACCCCACGTAAACACCGCAATTTGGTATATGCCTCGTTGACTAGCTATATTTTTCATTGAATTTAGAAGAAAAGCTAAAGGTGATATGAGGCATCATAATTAACAAAAACAATGTTGTAAAAAATGGGATTTAGCCGTTAATTTGACACAGATAAGCCATGGATTAAAGGTACAAAAGGGCTAATACTGCAACACTAAACGGCAAAAAAACTTATAGCACGAGCTTTGGGGCTTCTAACTTCATGTAAAAAATATAAATCGGATGAGCCCGGGAGGCTACGTGCAGAGATCTACAACAAAATTGACAAAAGTAAATAGAAGACGCCATTGAAGGGTTAGTGGAGGAGGCTAGATTGAGAAGTGATTGATGATGAAGAAGATGAAGAGTTGTTAGCATTATATAGAAGAGAAAGGGGGGCGGCGAAACCCTAATTGTGTTGTCCTGGATCCGAGTTGTTAGCCCATCAAATCCTAATTCCATTCGACCCGTTTAAGTTTGGGCCCATCAAAGAGTGTATTAATATTTATTTAGTTTAATTTTTTTATTTGATATTGAGTGTTAATAAAGAGGACTAATAATTTAATTTGATACTAAAAATTGATTAAATAAGAGCATATAAAATAATTAAAATTTAGAAAGAATTGAACAAGGTGGATTTTTATGCATTTTAGCTCAGATTCAATCCATTTTAGCCAAATAAATTTTGAACGAGTCATTAATTCACTTATTTATTAAAGAACAACTTCTTAGTCATATAAATGTTTCTACCATATTTAAATAAAAGCTAGAAATTTCAATTACAAAAAAATTATCATATTTACTAATCTTTTCAATAGTTTGAAATAGTTACATACTGTCTCACTAACTAAATTTCAAGTCAAACACACCTAAATACATGTATTTTTGTCACTAAATACGCTATGAAATACATATAAATAAGAAGAGATGCGAGCGAGATAGGAGAGAGGCGAACGAGATATGGCAAACGAGAGAGTTGGGACCAAAATCTGCCACAATAAATAATTTCAAAAACTTTCAAAAAGTGAAATTGTTTTGTTTACCCATTTATTAACTTAATTCATCTTAACTAATCCAAAGTCAATCTAATATGTCAATTTAGTATTTCTAATTAATAGTTCTTTTGGTCCATTAATTATAGATAAATTTTGATGTTTGATTTTTTTATTGATACTTCTTCTATCTTAATTTATGTGATTATTTCTTTTTCCTTCTTTTTTTTTTAAAAAGAAAATCTCAGTTTGAATAATAGGTATCATGACTATCTCAAACTATTTCTAAGAACTTCTATTTTACTATGCAAGTTATCAAATTATTATCTCTTTATATATTTTCATCAACGAGACAATCAACACACTTATGCTATGATTATAGAGAAAATACATTAAGAAAATTTCTGAATTTGGGCCAAAATTTACTTTAGTATTTAAACTGAGTATTTATATATCTCTTAACATCTTTTATATGAATTATTTTCAACCCTTCAAAAACACCAGCCTAGTTGAAGGTTGGGCTTTGTTACACAAACACGTTTTCATTGGTTCACGTCTCTAAGGATATAAAGAATATCTTACCCGTTTTATATAAACCACCAGTTTTCCAAAATACAACCCAATCTCTAAGCCCGAGTCTCATTCTCTCAAATTTGCAAGACCTAATCTGAAGATATTTCTTTCGTTAGCGTGAAGGATTTGCTGAATTTAAAATTTTCGTGAAGAAATGAATGATTTGCAAAATCTTCTGTTCAAGAAGTAACGACAATCTTGATAAAATGAAAAGTGAGAAAACAAAAATCAAAATAATAGATGAAGAAGAATAAGTTTGAATATTACATTTTAAAGAACAATAATTCTTTCAAAGATTCATTTTTAGGTTTGAAGAGCTAAGATTTGAGAAAAATCAAGAAAAATATGATAAATTAGGTTACCATTTTTGAATGATTGGATTGGTGAGGGAGAAGAGGTAATTAGGGTTCTTAAAAAGTGAAAATTGTTCTTAAAATGGATAATGGGTCGGATAATACCGTTGGAGGGGCAAACTTAATTTTTTTAAAAATGTTAAAAGATGACTAACGAGCCGTTCTAAGTTGTAACAACACACGCACATGACTGGTGTTTGAAGGGTTGAAAATAATTCACATCAAATATGTTAAGGGATATATAAACACCCGTATAATTTAAGTACTAAAGTAAATTTTCGTGCCAAGTTCAGATGAGTATTTATATACTTTCTCATTATAATAAGTTCTTTTAACCAATTTTTTGCCTTATTTTATTATTCTGTAAATTGATGTTAAGGATTTATCTATTAAGCAAATAAATCACATTATTCAATCTTAAAATAGTTAAAGCGGCAACAAAACATATAAAGTAATAACATTGAATGATGAAATAACTACTTTTGAAATATACATATTTTTCTCATATCAATAATTTTAGGAATACCAATCAAAGTTTAGATATCTGTTTACGCAATTAAAAATGAAATATAATGGGGTCATTTGACATGTGGAATAAAGATGATCACTCGAAATAAAATTTGGGATTAATTTATCCCATTTTTTATTTGAGATATTAGCTGATCCCAAAAATTATTTTATCCCATGGTGAATACTATCCCATATAGAAGGTGGGATAAAATAATCCCACCGAAAAATAAAATTTAACCTTTTTTTCTCGAATAATTTGGACACGTGAAGGTCATCTGTTTCATGTTGAAGTTTTCATTAATGACAATGATGAATACGAGATGATTTGCTAATAACAATGGTAAACTGGACCAAAACTGTAAGAGAACTCAAAATTGAGAAATTTCATATATGTAGAAGGCAATAAAGATTACAACTTTAGTACAGTCAAGAGCAAAATTTGAAAGAAAATAAGCTCTAAGTTGTACAAAAAGAACTGGACAGGCAATAAAAAGAGAAACAACAAGCAATTCTGCCAAATGAGAGAACATGCTCTCACTGTAGAAACTAACAACTAAATATGCTCTACCAGCTCGAAAGGGGTGCATATCAAACGATCATCCAAGTCAAATGTCGATAACCAGCCCATTTTGCAGCAAGTCGAACACCAATGGCCAGTGCAGCACATATCAGAGGAACCGGGACCTTCCTAACTGCACCGATAGTTTCCCCTTCACTTTTATTGAAAGGTGTTTTAGAGTATTGCAGAATGGCCAAAGCTGCGTAAGAGACCATTACTACCAGTCTAACCCAAGGTTCTCCCACAGCAGCTAATGCAGCAGCAGCAGGCATTGCGGAAGACACATAATCTCTTTTTTTGATAAATCGAGCAAAGAAAAACAAGCCTAAGAGTATAAACCAAAAGAACAGCTCGGAAATATAACCTCTCACAGCAGCAAATCCCATTATTCCAGCTGCTGTAAGAAGGTACGGTTGGCTGTTCACAGAATCTGGAGCTGCCGCTTCACCAATAGCAAGAACACAAGAGGCCAAAATGATGATTGTTGTCAGCTCTTGTACTGGTGCATATGCAATTACACTGGAGTAGAAAGCTCGAATGGAATAAATTGATGATTCAATAAATCTAATTACAGCTGTGATCTGATCCCCTATGAAGTAGTATACAACAGCGAATGCAAGTTTCGAGATGTAACCGAGAAATCGGAAGACAGCATCCACAGCCTTTTTCCAATTACCCAGTTCCCATAAGACAGTCCTCCAGGCATATAGAAGAAAGGCTAATGCTGCATATTGACAATAATTGCGGAGTCAGCGAAGTACTCTATGTTTATAGCTGGAACACTTATTCATAAATAGAGAGCTACACATGAAAAGTGCAGAACACGAATGTGATTTACTACCCAAATGAGAATCGTAAGAAAATCAAATGATTAACAAGTACACAATACTCTAACAGTAGATACGTGTTCCCAGCAAGTTCTCCACCAAAACTACGTGGTATCTTGGGCTTTCTTTCTACTAGTATCAATAAAAAAATATTATCAAGCAGCTTATGTACTTATCATGTAGTCCAAACAAAGACATAACAATAAACCCTCATCAATTTTGAAGAATTGTTCAAAATATTGTGGCATTCATTAGATAAAGAGAATAGCGACCTGCTTACTGAAGGCTCGAAAATGTAGCTGCGCTACCACTAATATCACCCAACGACTCAGCAGCAGCTATACTCATTCAATGGGAAAGAGAGGGGGGGGGGATTATGATTCTATGGAACTCAGTCATCATACATATTATACCACTCAATAATAGGTACTCAGTCAAATGATATTATAGGTATATGGTTCACCTGTCCCATGGCTCAAGATCTAAACTAGTTCTCAAACTTAAGAATCTATCTATACGTACTGATTGCACAAATTAATACATTTGCTGTGTATTCAGCGCTGTTGAAGAAAGTGGACTGTCTTGTAGTATATTCATGAACCTTAGAAGACGAGAACACAAAAAAACTAGAACAAAAATTAAAGGTAACTGAGGCACCTAGAACAGAGTGTAAATTGTGAAAAAAGATCCTCAAGGAAACAATTCTGTCAAAGCAGATATGAATGGGATTGTATCATGCACATGGCTTTATAGAGTGACTGTTGAGACCGCTTTTAACTAGTGCATGGTTTTCTGGAATTGTGCAAAGTTCAATTCCTCCTTCTGGTGCCTTTCTTATATCAGCTACTTTACTAAATATAAAGAGACGAGAATCTATTTTAGATGAGAGTTAACCAGAATCAAACAGGAGGATAGGTAGTCCTAGTTTACCATTATTAAGCTATTATCTTAAGCCATTGAACTACTGGTAGGAAATAACAACATTCATTTTATAAAGATCACATTTTTTTCCCCTTCATTCAAATAAGAGCAGCATTCGTTCAGACTTCATTCATTGCACAGAATGATCTCTATCCTCATCTCAATATCTTTCATCTGTTCCCATTACGAATTCCCTAATCACTATACTAGCAAACAACAGCACATGAAACATCAAACTAAGTAAAACATAATAACAAAAGCTAGAGTACAATCAAACTGTATAAAGATTAGTTTCACAAACATATCAATCAATCAACTAAGCCTGCTTGGGGTCGACTATATATTTATATCCATTTTGTTGGCGGAAGGTAGCAGGTACACCATGAAACTAGTCGAGTTGCCAGCAAGCTAGTCCAAATACCACTGTTATCAAAAGAAAGTAAAACAAAAAAAAAAAGCTGACTTCTTTTCTTTTTGTAAGGGCAACTTTCAATTCTCATACAGCAATACCAAAGCCAAATTACCAAAAGGTTAGTTTCAAAGACATATCAATCAATCAATTATGCCTTCTGGGGTCAACTATATGAATCATTTATAACCATTCTACTTTATTTGGGGCAGTTTTTTTCCCTACAAAAAGAACATATGATAAGAGTTTTTTGATATACCTATGAACCAAGGCCATCTAACAGGCTTATCAGGAGCTTCTTTAGTCAAGTATCTGAATCTATCAGGCATTGTGCTCTCTCCACGAACATCAATTTCAGCTTTATCAACACTATTCCCATAATCTACTCCACTACTCTCAGCTTCCACAATAAACCCATTTTTCCTACGTAACTGAAATCCACAATCACTAGTGAAAATTCCACAACATTTGTGTTTCAATTCGAGTTTCAAAGGCTTAATTCTGGCAACAGATGAGGGAAAATCAAGAATTTGATTATGAGAGAAAGCATTTGAAGGAAAATTTGAGGAGATTTTATGGGTTTTCTTGATAGTGGGAATTGAAGATGAGAAAAATGAGAGAGTAATCGACATTGTTGTTAAGGGTTTAGGGTTTTGCCATTACCAGAAAATTGGGGTTTTGCAAAATCCGGTAGCCCGCCAGACAACCCGGTGACCCGACCCGAAAAATTCATAAATCTATAAATTGAAAATTTTTATGCATAAATTATGTAAATATTAGGTGAGATAAGAACAATTTTTTGGGTCTGCTGTGTGTTTCAATAGGAAAATAGTCGTATTTTAGTGCAATTTTTTTTTTTTTGCTACAATCAAATTTTTTTTCCAGATGTGTTGTATAAATTAGATTTTTTTTTTATATAATTACTTTTTAATTGGTATGACTTGATAAAAATATTATTAATATCATATATAGTGCGGTATCATATTAACAATTGCCTATATTTTTTTTCTGGCCAAATACATAAACAGATCCTTAAATTTGTTAAGTTTTTTTCTTCGGGTACCCTAACCACGTCATTTTTCTATTGAATCATTGAACCACCCATAATTTTTTCCTTTAAAACACTGTTGGTTGATTTCGATCGGTTTTTCTATTGTAAATGCCTTCAATTGTGTTCGAATTGTAATAATTTTGATTGAAGGAATAAAGACAAACCGTGTTAGTCTCATTTGTTTTCTAATGTGTTCAAATGACTTAAGTAAAACACAATTATTCTACAATATTTTCATTATCAATTGGATTAGTGAGTTCTGAAACAACATATGTATTCTCTATCAATACCCCTCACAACTCTGGTTCCACATCAGATAACTGCGTTTGCTTAAAACAAAATAAATTAAGGGACTTTGTTTTATTGGGTATATATATATATTCAAAACAAGGCGGCAAAAAGCACAAGGCAATGAGTTCTTTTTCTTCAAACTTCAAACTTTTGCTTTCTTACACAAAACTCTTAACATCTCATGTCAATCAAGGCAAACATGAACAAGCTCTTTCTCTTTTTCACCAAATCCATTCAACTCTCTCTCGTTCACTCGACCCCTTCGTGTTCCCTCTCGCCCTCAAATCTTGCGCCGCGCTGAGTTTCTCTCAGCTCGGCGCAACCATTCACGCACACACAATCAAAGCCTCTTTCGGTTCCAACCCCTTTGTTGCTTGTGCATTAGTAGACATGTATGGGAAATGTGTCTCTGTAGAGTACGCACGCCAACTGTTTGATGAATCTCCGGAGAGAAATGTAGTGGTTTGGAACTCGATGATCTCGGTTTACGCGCATTGTGATGAGGTTGGGAGGGCGTTGGAGTTGTTTCGAGTGATGGATGTGGAGCCTAATTCTTCTACTTTTAACGCGATTATCGCGGGGTTGGCGGAGACAGAGGATGGGTTTAGTAAGGCTGTTTTGTGTTACAGAGAGATGGGGAGGATGGGTTTGAAGCCGAATTTGATTACGGTTCTTGCGTTGTTGCGTGCTTGTCTTGGTATGGCGGATGTGAATTTGATCGAACAGATTCATGGGTATTCGATAAGGAATGATATTGATCCAGATCCGCAATTGAGAAGTGGATTAATCGAGGCTTATGGGCGTTGCGGGTGTCTTGAGAAAGCTCATCTTGTGTTTCTTAGTATGAGAAACAGGGATGTGGTTGCTTGGAGTAGTTTGATATCAGCTTACGCGTTTCATGGTCAAGCAAGAACCGCGCTTGAAGTTTTCGAGCAAATGCAGAAGGCTAATATCAAGCCTGATGGAATTACTTTTCTTGGGGTTTTGAAAGCTTGTAGTCATGCTGGACTAGCTGATGAAGCACAGATGTACTTTTCTCGTATGAGTGTTCGCTATGGTGTTGAAGCAAGCAGTGATCACTACGCGTGTTTGATAGATGTATTGAGTAGGTCAGGAAGATTGCATCAGGCGTATGACGTTATTAGGAAAATGCCAGTGAAAGTAACTGCGAAAGCTTGGGGAGCACTACTTGCTTCTTGTCGAACTTATGGAGAAGTCGAGCTAGCAGAAATAGCTGGAAGAGCTTTATTTGAAGTAGAGCCTGAGAATCCTGCAAATTTTGTGATTCTGGCAAGAATTTATTCCAGTAATGGCCGATTTGAGGAAGCGGAAAAACTCAGAAGAGAGATGATCAAGAGGGGTATGAAAACAGCCCCCGGTAGCAGCTGGGTAGTACATCAAGATTGACATATCCGGGAAACAGAGATGTCTATTGTGAAGTTCCATGTAATTTTGAACTCGAGTTTTGTATTTGATTTTCGCATCAATGGCAGAAAAGAAATCAAGTCTTCCGAGTACAGATCGTTCTAAAAATATTTGATTGATATACAAAGAAGAGTAGCAACATCATCTTAAAAGGGCTAACCATATTTTGCTCAAAAAGAAAAAAATACACTGAAAATCACAGTAGCTACAACAAAATAATATGACACTCGATATGATAATCGACGAATAAAGACAAGGTCCATTGCTTGATTAGGATAAGGTTTCACAATGAACTTAGAAATATATCATACAATTGAGTGATTCCATGTAATTCAACATTCAGTATATATTACCTTTCTGATCAGATAGCTCTAAACAATGTCTACCAAATTTGATAAAACATCACGTCCACTACCTTGAAACAACCATTAACTTTGGTAAAATGTCTTGCCTTGTGATCACATTCTTCTTTATTGTATCGACAACTTTTGTAGTCCAGCTACTCATTCCGTCCATAAATCTCCCATTCATTCCAACAACCCACGCGAAACGACATTGTTTCCTTTAAGCAAAATAAGTGATTCCATGTAATTTTGAACATAAAACGAGCGAGAGCTCCCTTGAATACGAAGACCCCTATTTTGTCCACTATTTGGATCATACGAAACCAAATCACTACTCCTAGTTGAAAACAAAACTTCACCGTTTTTCCTAAATCCAACTACTCTCTCCATACCTGCAACCAAATTTATACTATACAATCTACTCCAAGATTCCGAAACTCCATACTGATTCATCACCCATACTTCACATGAAGCAACATCTATCTCCCTCTCATACTTAACAACAGCAAGCGATTCCTCAAACAACAGAACCGATAAATTCGTTGCAATTACACCAACTAAAGCATCCGGCAACATAATCTCCCCAAACACCTCATCCGCTATACTAAACGTCATAACTAAACTCCGAAGTTCACCACCATTCGCAACCACATCATACGCAATCCAATGTACAACTCCATTCACAAAAACCTGAGACCACATAAACTCCACTACACAATGCTTAATCTCAACCCCAATCACTCTCCTCCAAACCCCACTATTAATCGAATAAATTTCAATCTCCGGAGGATCTTTATACACAACATCATCGGTCTTACGATACACAAGTCTAACCAACTTGTAGTCATCAGACTCACGCAAATCAGCACCAAATCCAAAAACAAACATATGAGGCGACTGAGGATTAATCGAAGGCATTGGTAAAATTATAAATTTCTTAATAGAAGGATTCCACAAAATAAGACTCCGTAACTCACCAAACAAATCATCTGACAAACACAGAATGCCATTGCAGCTGCCAACAATTCTGAAATACCCAAGTGGGCAACTGAATGGGAAATACAGTTCCGATGTGAAATTCAAGTTAAAGGGTCGATTTTTAGAGTCTTCAAACAATAAATAGTGTTCTCTGTTGCGAGAACTGTCATAGCGCCTAACAAAAAGGGTTTCGGAATGTGAGGTTTGGGCGAAGTGAGCTGAGATGAAAGGAAAACTGGTGATAAGTGAATACCATGATTTGCAAACAACTGTGAATCGAATTAACGATTCAGCCGGAAGTTTCAGTAAAATTTCTCTTAAAAGTTCAAGAGGAAAGTAGAAGGAGTCTGAATCAGCCGCCATTGATGAATTGAGAGAAAGAAAGAGACGAAAAGCGCAAAAGAGTGTTTTATTTAAGAGGAAAGTACGATAATTAAACCCTAAAAGTTAACTAATTATAATTTTTAACTCTAAACTTAATCCTATCCTATGATATATCTTCATCCAATGTATTAAATGACTCTAATATATTGTGTTAACTAGTTTAATTTCTAACTTAATTATATAAGGTAATCTATAAATTGATTTTAAAGTGTATCGTGTTAATTAGTACCTTTTTTTCCTACTTATATAATATTATTTAACTGGATAAAAAATTTTAATGAGTTTGATTCCTTATAAATTCGGTGTGAATTCTGAATTCGATTTAATATCTAAACATAATTTATTTGGAAATTAGAAAATGATATAGAATTCCAAAGAACTCGAAAGGTGTGACCAAATTTGATGGCTTACAAAGGAAAAGACAAAGTAAGAACATGTTATTGGAAATATTGCAATATATATCGGAAGGAAGACTTATGTTACTATTACGCATCAAAATTTCTGTTTTTATGTGATTCGCAACATCAAAAAGAAAATTTTAATTTCCTATGGTAACTCTTGATAGCGAGTGACCTTGTATCCAATGTTTCTGTCTATGAAAAAATCCCTAATTAGTTTGATGAAGTCCTTTTTTCATGATCCCATGATTCTTCATCTCGTTGATAATATGTTAAAAAAATTTATATGTAGCAAACTATTTGCTATGCCATTTTAGTTTCTTTATTAGGACACCTACAGTTGAAAAAAATCAATCACGAATCTGAATATCGTATCACCACTATTTCAAACACAATTAGTACATTCTAAAATCACCATTACACTTGCAACTCCATGAAAGGGGTTCAAGCATTTTAGTCCATTTTATGTCCTTTATCAACTAAGTCCAAATTCTTTAGCAAGCATTTGACACTTTGATTTTGACTCATCATCAGTGATCATATATTTTTTAGGATCATATCTAAAATGAATCAAAGGAGATTGTATTAATCAATTATAACTAACAAAATTTTGTACAAAATTCTTATAAGAATATAAACCAGTAGTGATTAAAACAACAAGTCGTTGTAGTATAGTGGTAAGTATTCCCGCCTGTCACGCGGGTGACCCGGGTTCGATCCCCGGCAACGGCGTTTTCTCATGTTTTAAAGGTAAAATTTTATTTTGACGGAATTTTTTTTTGCTTGTTCTCGAACAATTATTATGTATATAGGTTAATATTGTGTGTTCTCAAACGCTTACTACATAGAAAAATTTAATACTCTGTGTTCTCAAACACTTACTACATAGATAGGTTAAT